TATGAACCTTCTGTAACCTGTAATTTGGTATCTTGAATTTATTCTGGTTCCTTATAGATATTTACCTATATTATCCTATCCATTATAGTATTCACCAACGGACGACCAGGCGCGGCGAGGGCTTTCATCCTTATGTTGTCGAAGTTCCTCCCATTCGCACGAAGCGATTTGCTTCCGCTTTCATTATGCGAACGGCTAGGGAGTGGAACTCCTTGCCGAGGTCTGTTTTCCTGGACCAATATAATCTGGAAATCTTGAAGGCCAGAGTGAACTGACATCTTCTAGGCAGGCGTGCACCATCCTAGGCCTCATCATCGCTTTCCATCAGGCGAGATTGTGGTCAAAGATTTTGCCTTGCCTATAAAGCATTAAAAAAAATCGGTGGTGAGCTTTGATATTACTTGAGAAACTCGATGGCGCAAATGGTACTGCGCAATGTATCTAAGTGTATCCTATATTATTATGACTGGGTGCGTGGCATTACTGCCCTATTTTACAATATGTGATACTTTTTTCACTGTGTAATGTAAATAAATAAATATTTCCAACACTCACACCAATTAGCCTGTCCCCAAAGTAAGCACTGTAAGGCTTGTGTTGTGGGATACTAAGGTAACGGATAGAATACATATACAGTGCATATATAAGTATATTTATATAGAAATACATATTAAACATCCAAGACTGGAGTACAAATGCTCGTATTCATCACACAAACATATGTAGACTTATGACTCTGTAATATTCGTAAAGCTATATTCATAAAACATGGTAATCTCAAGTCCTTTGGATTTGATTTGGATTATCAACCCATCTGACCGTTCAGTTAACAGATCTGAGTTAGTTAAGACAATTAACTGGGTACGCTTTAGGGTAGGTCAATTCTCAAAGGTTACACAATATAATATGATATTGAAAGGAGTTAAAAATTAAAAATTGTGACAAGGCTTGCACTTGCAACCCATACCCGCCCCTATGGTAGATAATTTTATTCCAGCCAATCCATTAGTCGCCTCCATTCACATTTAACCTGAATGATATTTTCTATTTGCTTATGCAATTTTACGATAAATCCCAAATAAACTTAGGAAGATTGGTTGATGAACCTCCATGAAGGTCTAGTGCGTGTTGGTTGGATGCTAACGATTACATACTTGTAATTGTAACTTGATGTATGTACGAACAAAAAAATATTATTAAATTATTATTTTATGCAGCCGGGACAAACAACTTAAAGTGCCTTCCGAAATACGTAGGAACTCATGACTATAGATTTTTGGTCACCCGTCCCATATCCGCACTGCGGAAGTTAAGGAACTTCCAGGATCGTAGGCCGAACACAATAACGTTCGCTATTGAGTAAAAATCTTTACTAGAAAAAATACACGCTGACCAGGCAGCAGACGTAATTCGAACCCACAACCTCCACTATCCGGGCGGATGAACTGACCATTATGCTACCGCGACCCTAATTGACCGTGTCGAATTTTCTTTAGTATTTCTTAGGCTGCAAGACAGCGCCATCTCTTCGCATTGTAGCTTACCCACAATGTCGAAGGAATACCTTTAGAAGTATTCAACATTTTAAAGAAAAAATAGCAATAATAGTTATATATTTAGTAAGAACAATCTTTAGATTTAAACATCTAGCAGTTAAATGCTTCAAAATATAACTTAGAAGCTGTTCAGCATTATCTGAGGAACTGCTAAGCAAGTTGGAACGTTTGCAGAATATAGCTATCAGATTTATATATAATCTTCGTAAATTTGACCATGTATCACACTTCCGCTCGAAACTCATCTGGCTCCCTATTCGCCGGCGCAGGGACTTACATACTCTTACGCTTCTTTATTCTGTACTTTTCCTACCTACTTCTCCACCTTATCTAAAACAATGCTTCTCTTTTCGATCATCCTCTTCACAATACATTCTACGCTCCTCTTCTAATCTCACTCTAGAAATACCTTGCCATTCGACTGATTTCCTTTCTTACTCCTACTCTGTACATTCTGTTCGCTTGTGGAATTCATTACCGGAATCCATACGAAGGGCTCGCACTCTGGACTCGTTCCGTGAGCAAGTTAAGCGTCATTTCCTATCTTTACTTTGAAAGTACCTCTTTCCTTTATTTATTTGTTTATTTTTTATTTTTTTTCATATAAATATGCATCTATATTATTATTACAGTTTTTATTTTATTTTATAATATTGCTCTTACACCCTTCCCCACTTTTTTTGTTCTTTATACTTATTTAATTTTCTGTCATGGGTTGCCTGGAAGAGATTGCTATTAAGCAATAAGGCCGCCCATTGTGTAATGTCTCTCTGTCAGTGTAATCTTACTGTTATGTCCATTGTTGTGTTATACAATAAAGAATATTATTATATTATTATTATTATTATAAACACCCTGATTCTGATTTCCCCTAGTTAGAATAAAACTGCGATCATTTGGATTCTGGTTGTCGTTATTGTGATTTCACATAATACTGATGAATATTGTTAAATAGTTCCATAAACATTTGTCCTATAAGTTATTATTTTTCCATAGCACAAACTCTGCTTACTTTGGGAGTAAAGGTGGTAGAATGGAGTGCGGAAGTAACATTTACACCAACATTCTTAATCCAATCATAGAGAAGTCATATATTTTAAAGGCAAGAGAATCTCTTAGAGAAAAATTGAAAGAAATTAATATTTTAACACTGGCATCGCAATACATTTATGAAAATATATTAAACATATGTAAGAAAAAACTATGACGCATTTGCAAAAAAAAGTCAAACCCATAACTTTATCACGAGATTTAAGAACAAGCTTGCCGTTCCATATTTCAGACTCCAAAAATCAAGAGGTTCATTTCTGGGATGTAGTATTGTATTGTTTAACAAAGTTCCCCAAGATCTGATTGAGCTTCCACTAACCAAATTTAAATCTCAGATCAAGAATACTCTTATGAATAAGGGCTATTATAAAGTTAATGATTATCTAAATGATCTTAATGCATGGACATAGTGTTTCTTGTAATTTCGTATTTGATGGGTATGAGTCAGTTTTGTAACAGTAATATGGTACCTATCTAATGCCGCTTCCTATATACTAAATATAAAATTTATTTAAACTATATATCTTTATCCTAAATAATGTAATGGAGGGTGACTTCAGAAGTATGTCTGAAGTCATTTTTCAACTTGAAGACTCTGTATATATCAATACAGGGAGAAAAAAGCAGTCCTTGCTGAGTTTCTTGCCGGTTCTTCTCAGTACAAGGTCTTCCGCCGTAGTTTTGCGAACCGATGGCGTAGCTTCTTGACCTTCACAAGTGCTTGTAACAGCCTAGACTGAATAAATGACTTTTCATTTCATTTCATTTCATTTCATTTCATTTCATAGAGATAGAATGAGGCTTGAAAATTATTAAGCTTTTTTGGTGAAATATTTTTAAATTTTAGCGAAGTTGTCATATTATTATATATAAAAACTTCACAGAATCAATATCAACCCCGTTCACAAGAATGAGTCATAAGGTATCACAAAACAAGCTTGATTTTTAGCAAATAAGCTAGACTGTTCGTGGTGTATTCTTAGCCTTAGAAAATATGTTTTGCAAAGGAGTCACGGTCGTACAGTCATCAAACTTCATTGTTATTCTTCTCGTGTCCAAACATAACGGATTTTCGACAAACATTTGAACCAAATATTATACGGATTATAATTCGATTGATATCGAATATATTCTATGTGATTCGTTAGAGAAACATTACTCTTTCGTGATGAATGCTAATAGAATTCTGATCTTATTACAATACATTGCCTCCTGATTGTATTGGTACGGTCATTAGACATGCAAAATAATTTTATATAAGGACAAAAATGCTTCATAAAAATGGCGTAGAAAATATTATAAATTATTTATTCATAGTCATAATAAAAAAAATATATGAAATAGGGTATTTGACAGTATAAAAAATAAAGTGCCAATTGTTAGAATCTGTGTTTAAATGAATATTGGCAGGGATTTTCACTATTTTTACAGAAAAAATATTCATAATTTTGCTAAGAACCCACGAAAAAGATAATAGTTTTCTTATCTATTGTCACGTGACCCAAAACGCTTGGGATTGGCGGAGCCTAAAATGACTTCACACGCAAGTAAACTTCCGGTTAAAGTGACATTACATTGTATCGTTTGACGTTTAAATAACAGTCGTGTGACGTCACACACCAGTGTTTATTATATTACAGATATATTGTCCAGAGAAAGGTTTTCGCGGCAACTTGTAAATGGGGTTTTTGATTTGGTTATTTTTACTGAAATACACAACAGAATGATGAATATCCACTTTTTAAGGACTCCATACATTAGTCAATAACGTGAGATTGTTTTCTAAAACTTGTCAAATACCCTATTGTTTTGGGTTTACTGACGACAAATAGACTTTTTAGAAATGGAACATAGAATAAATCAAAGAAACAATGCATTGACACTTAATATTTGCTACCTTAACTTATTGTAGCCAAACCCTTCACTTAGGTAGTTGATAGGCTAGTATATTAGTATATTCTTTTACTTGGGAGGAAGCAAGGAAACAGCCATTTGTAAAAATGAACATTAGTCCCATAAAAAGTGGAAGTCGTTAAAAAATCTGTTATTCAAACTGCTACGGTATTGTATTCATTGGAGGACTCTCCTGAATTAAATAACTCTTAACAAACATTTGTATAAATAAGCCCAACATTCATCTCATCAATCATGCTACGCCGCTTTTTGGTGTTTCAAAATTGACAATAGTGCCTCGCAATTATGATACCTATGCGTTACGTAATAAAGTTTTCATTTGTGTCGTCATGTTTGGATATTAAAAGTTTTGAAGCGGTTTGATCAGTTTAATATCAAGATTGTTGTATTATGATTCCATTATTACATAAAATTAATTTCGTTTTAATTAAAATTATTTTCATTTCATATTTAGGGCCTCGAATTCCATTGCTTGTGTTCAAATAACCCACGGAAAAAAACAAATGCGCCTTTTATAAGGTAACTAACTTATGTTAGTCACCGGCAGACGCGGCTTGCGGTTGCGGCAGGGGTGGCTGGCTGGCTTTATTTGCTTGCAATGTATGACTGCGAGTCTTCAAACACAAACGACCAATCAGAGGTGGCTGCGGTCGCAGGCCGCCTCTGCCTTTGAAACCTTTTATAAGTGTTGACAGTGGGACCACTGGACTAGGTAATTAGGAAAAAAACTAAACCCATTTCAATGAAATGAAATTATACTTTATTCAAATTGACTTACTGAAAGCTCCTTTGAATCGTCCAATAATTTTTCCTACCACCCATTCAGGACATCTTTTAGCTGATGAGATTCTTCTCATCAAGGGCGCAAGAAACTCTTTAGCGTTTAACAGAAGTAGCAACATTTACAAAAAAAAACATGTCGCTACCAATACAACGTCCACTCACATTTGGGTTGATGTGTCATACAGTATAAATACAAACAGTATTAAGTATTATAGATAAGATCTCAAAAGTAAAGCAGTATAGTGTAGAATCATCCCCGCTTGCAGCACCAGTTCACGAGCATGACGCATGAACCAGCCATCGCTTCGCTCAACCATATTTTAGGGAACGTAACGACCCGCCTCACACGACATCACAATTGAGGAGCTGGCGAAGAAAAAGTTAAAATTACATAAATTTAAATTTTACAGGCGCAATAAAAAAAACTGAATGACATACCTACAGTGAGTGAGTGGTTTTTAATTTAGTAATTTTTACGCTGTTTTATGTGTTATTTATTGAAAAAGACTTGAGATTCCAATTCAAAGGGCCCAAAACCGCTGGATTGTAAAAAAAATTATTGTCACCAATTCTGTATTTATACCGTTTTGTTCGACAGCTCCTCAATTATCAAAGAATGAAGGTAACACTAACAGAGACGATAATATTAATACAATTCCGGACACATCTATCGGCCCATCTAGCCTCACCTTGCTAAAAATAAATGTTACATTGAGTGAAAAGTTATTGCCTACGCAGTTTTGAAGCTGATTTCATTACCCATCTTTTCGTATATTTTTAATTTATTCTTCAACCATAAACATATATTTTTGCTACAGACCGCTGAAACTTGTAATGCTAAGTGGGCCGATACGTGTGCCCGGAAGTTTATATTATAGAAAATAAATAAAAATTGAATACGATTAACATAGAAAAAAAGTCACATATTAAGCTATACAAATTTATTCAAATAAATAAAAACAAATTTATAACAAACATTAATAAATAGTTAATATAAATAAATTATAACAAATCTGTAGAGGAACATCCGGTATATCGTAAAAAAATACACAACAACCCAACTAAAGATATTTCAAAAATAACATTTACATTAATTGCGCTTCGAAACGAAACTTAAAAATTTAAATCCAAACTGCGTATTTATTTAATAAATCATTTTTTCAGGCAAGAACCACCACCAGAGAACTTCAGGGGTTCCATTTCAGGTGCTGGTTTCTTGTCCAAAGCTGAAATGAGCCGTTTTAATTTCGCAATCGCAGTGGCCGGCAACAGACCCTTGGGGCATGCCAGGTTGCAGTTCATGATGGCGTGACAACGGAACGCTTTAAAATCGTCCCTCAAATCGTACAACCTTCTCTCGGTGTCCTCGTCTCTGGAATCGATCACCCATCGATAGGCATGCAGCAAACTAGCTGGCCCCAAAAACCTCCGCCCATTCCACCAGTAGCTCGGGCAAGACGTAGAACAGCAAGCGCACAAGACGCACTCATACAGACCGACCATTTTAAGACTATCCTTCACACTCTGTGCATACTGGAAGTTGCCAAGCGGCTCATCGTTCTTCCTAATCAAGTACGGCCGGATGCTGTTGTAGCCATTGAAAAAATGTGTCATATCAACCACTAAATCTCTAATAACATACATGTGAGGTATCGGGTAGATAGTGACAGTTTTGTCTGGAGGTATAGCCGTGATGCAAGCGAGGCAGTTGTGCCCTTGGAGATTGATGGCACAGGAGCCGCAGATGCCTTCCCTGCAGGACCTCCTAAAGGTGACACTCGGATCCATGTCTTTGATCTTTATGAGAGCGTCGAGTACCATTTTACCGCAAGTGCTCACGTCCAAGTCGTAGTTTTGAAGTTTCGGCTTGTCCTTAGTAAGGGTGCCATCGTACCTGTATATTTTGAATACCCTCCGCGGGTCCACTTGTTTCGGTGGAGCAGAGGATTTTCCCTTCTCTTTTGGCTTAGCAGCGTAACATCTCTTCAATAATAGAAATCCTCCACTATTCTGTAGTTGCGTCAGGAGTTTGGACATTTCGATTTCAATATAACAATATTAAAAAATATAACTTATTTGATGTTTGTTAAATCAATACTGCTAACAAATTGAACATTATTTCAACCAAAATGGAATAATCTGTTACAATCTTTTTTGAAAATACCTCTCTCCTTGTCAAAATGTTGTCAGATATTTTTATGTGACAAAGTGTTTTTTTTTACTCCAAAGACAATTTATGATTGTGAACTTTTTACATAATTTGATCCGTTCCAGTTCCAAACGGTCTATAACATTTCCGTTTATTTTGTAAATTTCCTGATATATATCTATAAACAAAATAGAACGGACATGTGCTGTTCACATGCGATAGAAGTGAAAGCTACAAAATTGTGAATAAGTAAAAGTCCTTCATGACAAGGCACGTCTTAACAACAATACCTGTGCTAAAATTCAAATCTCTAGGCCAAAATATATACCTACTTAAATTGTTTAAAAAGTAAATAATAGCTTAATAAAAAACAAAAATGAAAATGTACGTTATGTTTAAAGGCATTATTAAACTAATCACTTCAATTGAAACATTAATATACTATTTAAGTTATATTTTTCGCAAACAAGAATGATGCTTTATTATTCATAAATGTCCTTGCGATCGCACGCTCCATTTAATTTCTCGATAGATGGCGGCACTAAAACGAATTAAAAAAACAAATTATTTACATATTTTACAAAGATAAGATTGAAGCTATGTAGCGATTAACGAGCAAGAAATAAACTGATATAAACATTTTAGATGATATTCATGTCAGCTTTGCAATTGGTAAAAAGAGAGAATGCTTCTTTTGTCAGGAAATCAGACCCCAAGTACGTCATGGACTTATGTCTACGTACATAATAAGATCGATCGTCATTGGTGACACGTCAGCTTTCACATTTAACTTGACGGGAATAAGTTCCATACGGCTAGAAGCATTTTTTTTAAATTGTTCTCAGAGCAATATCCGTAAGAAAGGATTTTTTGGAATATCAACTCCAGGAAATTCGGAAATCGGTGTAGTGATTTTGCACTGAAATCTAACATCATATTTTTTTCCATTAATACATGTCACCCATACAAAGATTGGGCTGGTCGCTGTTGTAATATAATAATGACAATATTCTTCACCTACCAATGATACCACGAATAAGACGGAGGGCATTTTCTTCTGCGTGCCGCCGAATCTGCACTCATCTGCGGCATATGATTTTACTCCCTTCCCTGTAACAACAGCAATATCGCAATTGTGGCATGAGTATTAATCATATCTGGTGACGAATCGTACAACGTGCCTTCGCAACCCTCTCGCTTACTTTGTAGGGATGCGACCGAGACATATGATAATGTTCACTTTATTGATAAACGATTAATTGCTCAGAATCATAATACTTTGGAATATCAGAAAAAAGGACAGAAGCCAGCCAAATTCAAGGCGACGTTACTTAGTAGAGTTCCGTGCCATGGTACAGCACAATGCTTAAATCTTGATTAAATTCTCATTTCGGACATTTTTGAAACGAAATTCCTCTTCGGACGGTACGGACTTGGCGTATTGACAGGAGCTGGTTGAAAAAAAGGGTGACTTTTCAGTTACAACCGTCAATTGTTTTGTAACGTATTGTGTCTACTACTTTAAACTTATTTTTCCGACCGAGTAGCGAGTGTTCCATAACCGTCATGTTTGCTTTTATAAAATCCATTTTACAAATAGTTAATCATCTATAGAAACGCATAATGTAATAATATTATCAAGTGTACTTATTTCTCTAAAATTGGAGCTCCCGTCCGGAAAAGTATGTCCAAAGAGGATATAATTATATGGCAGAAGACCGCAAGTGGAAGTTGACCTCAAAACATGTTTGCAAGTTTGATGTCAACTTTCACATATTATATGCTTGTAAAAGCCTAAACTAAATAAATGATATTTGAATTGAGTGAAATGACGTTTTCTCTTGTTAGTGTTCTATCGGTGAGTGAGGTTTCAGGGCTTCACGGGGTAGGGGATAGGATCAGGGTAATCAACGACCGATATGATACTTTAGTATCGTAAGCGTCTACAAGCATACCATCAGGCGAGCCATATAGTTGTTTGTACACTTTTTTCCATGAACATAACATGGTTTTTCAAAAACACTAATAAATCGTAACACTCTTTGCATACTAACACGTGTTACAGGTACAAATAAATACTTCAAAAGGTTGCGAACCGAACCTGTTACATTATAGGTATTGTGGCTTCACACGGGGTTTAATTAATTAAGAAACATCAAAGTTATCTAACATCACTCCTTAGGCGTTTTAAACTGGTCCCTATTTTCAAAGCGTTAAAGCATAAAGTCACATCGACGCCTCTTGCGCCCGTGCCTCTGAACAAACACTTAACCCTATTTCAGATGAGCAAACAAAACTGATAAGTGCTCACTTCAACGCATTAAAAACGGCAAATGGGTCGATACGACCTAATCTTCAATCTAAAGGGTTAATATTTACGTACCCCATAAAATATTCCATGCGAGCGATTGCGTCTTTTCACTTTAGGTATTATTGCTTTTTGCCCGTAATAAATATTTCTTTTTTGTAATTTCGTATTTATCCTCAGTTGAAAAAAAAAACTAGTTACTGGTGTTGCATTGTAGATGAAGACGGTGATCACTTATATGAGCCTGGTAGTTTGTCCACTTAAATATAAAAGAAACTTAATACAAATAAATTAACGCACATTTCTTCATATTAGTAAAGTAAACTTAACGAGATGTAAATTTAATTCAATTCAATTCAATTTAATTCAATTTATTGCACTCATGTGGTTACATGGATGGTTACAAGTTACATAATGCATAAAGTACCTAACATGAACCCTGTCAGGGTATCGCAATATAGATAAAAATTACAAAAGAGAATTTAACAAATAAACAATTATCTATATGAAGAACCTAATTTTTATTAAACAACTTTTTTTTTCTCAAAGCATGCATAAATGTCATCTGATTTCATTAATTTTATAACTCACTCAATTGATCTTATTTACAGTACTAGTTTAATTTTGTAAATATTATTATGGGTATTCGTTTATAAAATTAAATTTGTCAATAATTAAAATTAGTAACTATGTCAATAAAAAACAAATAATATGTCAATAAACATGATTATAATAATCTAGGTTTGTATTTTAAAGATCGCCTCATTAATATTATTTTGTTGGAAAGTATTCATCTATGGTGTGAAAGCATTTATCTAATAAATATATTTTCAATTTTGTCCTAAATTGGTTAAAATGTTTTTCGTTTTTTATGTCAGCGGGTAATTTTTTATAAATTTTATACACATATAATATGGACTGCTACTAAGTTTTCTCAATCGAGATGGTGGTAAATATAATCGACTTTTGTGCCGTGTATTTATATTATGTGTTTCGTCAACTTTTTTATATACGTCTAAATTTTGATGTACGAATAGTGATATGTCTAGGATATATATGGATGGTAAAGTCAAGATTTTGTATTTTATAAAATATGGTCTGCAGCTTTCCGTATTGTCTATGTGGGCTATGATACGTATACATTTCTTTTGCATTATAAAGAGCTCGTTAGCAGTTGTGCCGTTTCCCCATAGCATTATTCCGTACCTTAGCCATGAATACGCATATGCATAATACGCAGATAACGCCGTGTCTGTATTTGTACATTGTTTTAATTGATATAGAGCATATGTGAACTTAGCAAGCTTACATTTAATGGATTCTACGTGGGACTTCCAATTTAAGTGCGTGTCAATTGTCATACCGAGCAAATTAAACGATTCTACAGTTTCGAGATCTGCGTTTCGATAATTAATTTTTAAATTTAAAGGAGGCTTTCCGTATGATCTTAACTCCATAACTTTAGTTTTTCGTTATTAATTTCTAAATTATGATTTTGTAACCAAAGCGTTACTAATTCCAGGGTTTCGTTTGTTATTTGACTCATATTACCCACACTATTACTTTTTATTAAAATTGATATACCGTCGGCAAAAAGTACAGGTTGTACAGATTCGCTAGTCAAAAATTTTGGTAAGTTGTTTATGTAGGCTAAGAATAGCATATATCCTAAAACGGTCCCTTGTGGTATAGAGCACGTTAAATCCATGATCTCCGACTGTTTTGTTTGGATTTCAGTTGTATCCTTATCATGATGCAGGATTACTAATTTAAAAAAACTTTTGATATCAAAAACAATCTTCAAACTATTAACGACAACCTCCGTGTTGTGAGTGGTTTGTGTGATGTCTTCAAAGTGTCGCCTACACTCAGAGGCTTCGAATCCCGTTGGAGCAAATGTTTGTATGATACGAGCGTTTGTACTCAAGGGCGTTTCTCCACCCTGGGCGTCACCGGGACGTCGCGTCAATGAGATCGAGATGACGGCGCCGAGGCTGAGATTAAAACATAAAGGAAAGTACGGTACGCTCATACTAGCATCAAATAAAATATGCTCCGACCCAACTGCATAAGCAACGCTCACGCACGCACACTTCTGTAAATTAATATTCAATCGAGCGAGCGAGGTATTACTGTACGCTTCAACGCAGCGCAAGCGAAAATGCGAGTCCTCGTCGTTTGGCTTGGCGACTGCATTTTCTGTCGTCTTTCTACAAACGGCTGAGCTGTATTGTTGTCCTTTTCTTGATAACAAATGGCGAAAAAATAAATAACATTCATAACAAACCGTGAATGTTTTCATAGTTTTACGAATGAAAAGTGTTGCCCTGAAATTTGATATTTGATCTTGAACTATTTGTATTCTTTATAAAAGCATCGAAGGCATTGTTTTATCTTTATAAGACAGAATATATGCAATATTGTTATATTAAGATGCAGCGTGTTTGAATGTCCAATTGTGACTAAAGCAAAATTGTGGTCATGCACCACAATTTAAGCGGATCACTTTTGAGCCGCGAGTGCCGTATCTTCCCTGTTTATTTTAATCTAAGCCAGCATCTCATTAAAAGTAATTAATGATAATCTGTTATTATAGTGTTGGTAAAAACACTAAGGCTTACATACAGTATATAATAATTACTTCATAATTCTGACGACGAAACGTCAAAGAAGTCGGAAATGGACGGATTTTCAAACCGTTTAAGCGTGTTTCATTTAATGAGTGGTGTGCATGAACACCAAAGAAAGAAATAAATTACACGTATACCTATCAGTTACCCTAGTATCCCATAGCACAGACCTTACAATGCTTACTTTGGGGCTAGGCTAATTGATAGGAGTGTTAGGAATATTTATTTATTTCGTAAATCTATTTCTGATATTCCACATTTGTACTATGGTGTTGTGAGGACTGTTTATGCAACAAGAAATTATTTAAGTGGTTCCACCAACATAACTACTCAGTGTGTTGACA